AGGATCGAGAAGGAAATGAACACGATATGAAACTGAAACAAACAAATACAAAATAAAACCAATTGTGACGATGACCTATAATCAAATAATTTTGATGAGTGCAGTATGATTGTATGACTATTCGAATATTGAATACAGCTTTATCGGTTTGCAAATTAGTCTATTATCTATTTTAATTATATCATTAAATGTGATCTTCAAAATAATCACAGTTTACCTTTAAACTGCATTCCCTTAATTTGATTCTCATTTATAGTCGTTTGGTTTGTATTATATTATGTCAATGGATGTACGCTTTTAGATGAAAGGTTTGCACATGTTTACATTAAGATATATCACTTTATTCAAGTTGACAGGGGTCTTTCAAAATCAATGTATGTTATCTATACCTTTTCAATCATGTTCCGTTGGAATAATTTTCTTTTTATTCCGGGGGGGATTCAGTTTGTGGTCACATAGAGCAAAAAAGCTACTCGTCAATGAAGTGTTCCCAAATGCAGTTCCTTTGACAAGGTGTCACAGATCGACTCTCTGAATTTGTGTGGACGCCGATATATAACTTTCATGTCAGTGATGGAGTTTATCAACGGAATTGAATCATCTCGTTCGTTTTTGTAAACGATCTGAAAACCGCAAATCTGAACAGATTTCGAATAAATGGCACGAGGTCCGAATAGGGAACCATTTTTTTCAGAGTAACACTGTTGAAGCTTTCCACTGTATTTTGTCTGAAACTGGTATGTTATTTCAGTTGAAGCCACTTTTATATGCATAATATTTATATGCGGCCATATTAAATACAGTGGCTGTTATAGAAATTCAGATATGACATTGTTACTCAATCGATGTACAGAGAAAAACATTGTATGATCCAGTATGAGTTACATTTGGATAAAAGTAAAAAAGTGTTGATCGTCTGAGATCAAGCGATTGAATCTACATACAATACATTAAACCAGCAAAGAAACGTAATTTTTTACGAGATAAATAAGTGAGGAAATACGTTGTTCGCATTGCAATTTCTGCAAAAAATTTAATGAAAATTTTACAATTCACCCTTTACATCAAATTCACATCATTGAACACATCATTGAACACGTAGGTAGCGACGATGTAAGTAGTAGCTTTATTCGTTCTCTAAACTAACATGCAAAAAATTATCGTGAGTTTATTTATAGTTAGACAACATTTTTTCATGTCAAAAAGATTACATAAGATCACATAACTGTTTTCAAGCATTCCAACTCCAGACATGCATTGATCACTGAGCCTTAATTATATACTCCATTGTTTCAATACTATTGGACAATGCCTTTACCAAATTCCCATTAGTGTCACCATAACAGGTGTAATTACTGCTCATCGATTGACCCAATAGCTACTGCCTGATACACCTGTTAACCACTACACCAATCAATAATGACCAACAAGATCACTCATCTAATAACAACCTTTTCAACACGCTCTATAAGAAAGGTCTAATGATTGTCATCTAAAATATGTGTTCTATGGAAAACAAATTGACGAATTAAAGGTCCTCCTAACAGAGTTCCGCCAACAAATTTCAATCTTTGGTTTAACTGAATCATGGTTGCAGACAACATATTAGTGTTTGATGGTTATTACCATATTCAGCGTGATAGATAGACATTTTCCGCTAGAAAGAAAGGTATTGGTACTTTTGTTTACATATTGGCCAACATCCCCTACATTAGACGAATTGATCTTGAACAACCTGATATTGAGATGATTACTCTTGAAATTGATTAACCTAAAGTCAAGTCTATGATTGTGCATTTCATCTATCGTCCCCTGGATATCGATCTGAATATATGGCTTGTAGCGTTTGCAATACAATGAACAAAATTGGAAAACAAGTAATGGAGATTTTAATATTGGTTTGTCAATTAATGATAAATCATCTATGTGGTCTAGGTTCATGACTAATGATTATAGTCTTACCCAACTTATTAATGAACCTACAAGAATTACTCCAGTTTCTCAGTCTGTGATAGATCACATATTTTAAACTCACACAGAGAATTTAACTCGCTTGTACTGTTATATAATATCAGAAATTTATTCTTGATGACTTCTTTTCATGGAACAACATTGAATGCTTTGATGACCCTGATGATGTTGCTGGAATGTGGAGCTACCTACTCGTGACCTATCTTGATAAACATTCACCACTGAAACAGAAGCGCATCAGCCAACCACGTCAGTCCGACTGGTAGAATGAAGAGACACCTCACTCCCGAAGCTTTGCTAAATAAACATTATACACATCGGACTGTAAACAATTAGAAAAATAAAGTAAAGCAGCTTATCTTAAAAATTAAATCAATTAGATAATTAAGTGCTCATAGATGCTGAACAATGTTAATATTGTAAATAAGTTGTCTAATAGGTTTAATAATAATAATAATAATAATAATAATAATAATAATAATAATAATAATAATAATAATAATAATAATAATAATAATAATAATAATAATAATAATAATAATGCAAATAATAATTCAGTTAACTTTGATAAGTTATCAAATTGTGTTAGGAATCGTAAATGTCAAGTTTCCACCTTTGAAATCTCACCACTGTCTCCTAAATTTATCTTGATTGTCCCAACTGCTCGTGTTGGATAGAAACAAGTTTCCTGTTAAAGGACCACCCCCACCCCCAGTTTGTAAAGATGGCTGCTGCGCATATAGCACCTTCCCTTACATATATGTTACAGTATTAGCAGTTTATAAAAAAAGGTCCCAAAGACAAACCAGAAAACTATTGATCAATAAGTGTGATTTCTGTCCTATCGAAAGTCACGTTCATGACCATTTCACGAAATTTATCAGGCCCTCCGTCTACTGAGACTGCACTTGTTGGTCTAATAGATGCTTGGTTTTAGAAAAACAGTTCAAGTTCACAAGTTCAGTTCAGAAATTGTTGTTCTTGGCGATGGTGGTGGTGGTGGTGGTGTACCACAAGGCTCCATTTTCGGGCCACTACCTTTTATTATCTATGCAAACGATTTGCCATTATATGTTATTGTATGTGTCCAACATATCCTTAGCTTAATCAAGATTTAAAAACTGTGGATAAGTGGTGTTTTGAAGAAAACAAATTGTGTATAAACCCCACTAAAACTAAATCTATGGTTGTTACCAAGTCTCAAATGAGACTAACAATTTAACAAGTAATGGCTGGCAAGGTCATTGATCCTATATCTTCTGAGAAGTTACTTGGGGTCATGATCACTATTAACCTTGACTGGTCTAACCATATATCTTCCATAAATACTAAACTATTTTTATTATCACGTGTTAGAAATATTATTCTTCCTTCAAATAAGCAAGCTGTTTTTATTGTTTTATGTCACCACATGAATTATTGTTTGGAGTGTTGCGACTGACCATAATATATAGTCATGCCATGCCATGAGATTTATTCTTGGAATTGTACCACCTTAGTCCACTTGTGCCATGAATAAACAGCTTCAGTGGTTCCCTGGTAAGTTGAAACTTCGTTTAAATTGTTTAAGTCATACCTACACGACAACTCATAACAGGTGTTACGTTCCAAATAAAACCTATTAAAAGTATCTAGAATTACGCTTTACAAGTATCCTATCATTTGAAGGTGTTGAAGAGTACAGTTCTTTATTACCCAAAGTTGTCAGAGATTCAGAGTCATTGTCTATTTTTAAAAGGTTCTACAAACAAATTTCTTTTTACGATTTTGTCCGAAAATGTAATTTTAAAAATAAAATAAAATAATATTCAAACAAATCTTTTAGTGTATAATCATTTCTTACAGTCGGCCTTCATGAAATGAGTCTTCGGAGAAGTCACTATCCATTACTTAACAATTGAGAATATATCTTGATTCCAAAGAAGTATTCGTGGCTGTTGAACTAGACAAAGAGAGTTAATACCTCTAATACACCATTTAGTAGATTCAGTTGTTAGTGCATATCACTTGTCATATCTATTGGGCCTAACGAATATCAGTGTAGGCAAGAACTAGTGTCTACTTGGGTGTAAAATATATAGTTCATGATATACTTTTGTATCAGAACCATTGTGAGGAAAAGGCTCCCATGACTATGACTGGTTGATGGCAGAGACGCAGGGATTAATCCTGAAATTAAATAAGCAAAACTAAAATTGGGGTTAGGTTAAGTTACATTTACTGGACACCCAATCACTAGTGAAGGTTTGCAGGGTAATTTTACGTTTTTACAGAAAATCATTTCATTTACAGTCAAAATGGGATTTTACAGATAAAGCAAATTCCTAATTACAATTTAATTTGCGTTTAAGAATCAATATTGCAAGTTGCGTATTAATGAGGAAAATGCTTTATACGCTTGCAAAAAATAAGATATTTGTACAAATTACGGACGAATAAAATAGCTGATTATATTTACACCTTGCCCACGTCTACGAATTTACGTTTTTTATTTATTTAAATTACATGATCATTACGAAAATAAAAACAAATGATTACAGCTTACGAAAACATCTCTTGCCGACTCTCTCAAAAGGTAAATCATGTAATAGGTATAAATATATGTGTACTTGTAATGGATGAAACAGTAGAGATTGAAGAATTGGCTTAAGATAATGCAAGACAAGTGCTAAAACTATCAACCATCACAGTTACTGAATATGGTCAGGTCTCGTTTTAATATATGTACCTGGCCAACGTTGACTGTGGGTGTGCATTTCCTTAGTTTGTTCTCAGACAACTAATAATTTTTTCAGTTGTCTGAGGTTTGTTATATTTGGAAATATTTGGGTACATCCCGCTGTCAAAACATAACCAGGGCTGGTACCTTGACAGTTTAGTTTTGGTCCAAAATGTAGTAACAAGTTAAAAACTCAATTATTAATGGGAATTTGCTATTTTGACAGTTCATGATTAAGAGGTTAATGCTGTACCGTTATGTGGGAAAGTAACCGACCGGATATTTTGCATTGGGTTGTAACTGATTTATAGTCGCGTGTATTTGTATGAATTACGCATGTCGTGTATGTTT